GTTAAGACAGTCTCTCTTGTGGGATGGTCTCTGCCACCATCTCAGATTTCCCGTGCAGCAGAACCAGAACTCAATCCAGCCACTTTTGATCCCTCTTTCCCGCTACCCACTCTGCATGTCATCCCAATGGTCCTGAATTTTCTTATTACACCATGCCACAATGTTTTTAAATCGTAGTACATCTAGCAGTGGTTTCACCTAGAGGCTCTTAAGTTGGAGGCAACAGAGTGGGGTGATTAAGAGGGTGGGGTCCTCCATTAGGCCTGGATTTGCATCCTGGATCTGCCATTTCTAAATAGGGGAACCACATGTTCCAGTTTGCTTAGGACAGTCCTGGTTGTCCCAGCATCATGGTAGGCAGGCTCGCCTCTAATACTTGTAGGCCCTAGTGGGAGTAAGAATGGAAAATGGTCCACAGGTCCGTCCACCACTTTTCTTCCTACCAAAGGGCTGCATGTCATGTGTGGCCCGCCGCAGGCATGTTTACGCCAAATCCCCCAGCTGTCCCTTGGGTCCTTTGGGCCTGGATGTGTGCACATCTGTGGCTTTGTCTGCCCTTTGGAAGACCCCCAGGTGGTGCAAACACAGGCTCTGGAGGAGACTCGGGTAATTTGGGCAGAGAATTTAGGGTGCCACAGGGACTTGGAGCATGACCTAGAAGCAGAGGTTGTGGCTCTGAGTGGGCAGAACCCTTTGGACTCCTCCAACCAGGAGGAAGATCCCAGCCACAGGAGGAGCAGAGTGGATCCTTCTAAATCCCAAAGTGAGCAGGACAGGAGGCCCAGGATTTGGGGAGGTACTCATGAAAACTGCCCCCTTCATTGGCAAAGGCATCCTGGTCTGGATAGTCAACTATACAGTCTGCTAATCTCTGAGTTGTGTAGCTTTGGGCGTTATTTCCCTCTCTGGTTCCCTCATCTGTAAAACCGGAAGAATGGTTCCCAGGAGTGCTGCTCAGCAATGTTGTCACATACCCCCCACCCCTGAGCAGCGATGTTCTCACATACCCCCGAGCAGCACTTCCTGCTACCGTGAAGGTCGAGGGGCCACGTAACTTGCTCTGACCAACGAAACTGAGCGTGGGTGACATGGTCACTTCTGAGAGTGAGCGCATTTGCTTTCCTGTGCTTGACTCTACAGTGGACGTGAGTGGATGTGGAGACACACTGCGAAGCCCCCACACCGCAGCTGCCGTGGACAATTGCCCAGAACCACAACAGACTTTGCAAAAGCAAAAATTAAACCACTGAGACGGTGGGGTTGTTGGTTACCGCAGCACAACCCAGCTTATCCTCTTTCCTACGACTACCAACCTTGTAGGGTGGTCGTGAGAGTTACATGAGAAACGTCTGTAGGTCCTCGGCATAGTGCCTGGTGAACAGCCGTTAGTATTTTGTGTGTGTGTGTGTGTGAGGGAGACCAGCCCTGAGCTAACATCTGATACCAATCCTCCTCTTTTTTGCTGAGGAAGACTGGCCCTGGGCTAACATCCGTGCCCATCTTCCTCTACTCTATATGGGACACCGCCACAGCATGGCTTAGCAAGTGGTGCGTCGGTGTGCACCCAGGGTTCCAAACCGGGGAACCCAGGGCCGCCGCAGCGGAGCGTGCGCACTTAACCGCTTGCGCCACCGGGCAGGCCCCCAACAGCCGTTAGTATTTATGTCGACAAGAAGAGATGCTTACAGGCTCCCACTGCACAAACGCCTCAAGGTAGGAAAGCGACCAGTTCTCACGTCCATCTCTCCTGTGCCTCAGTGGGGCCTGGACAGTGTTCTACTTTACACGAGAAGATTACAGAGGTACCTGAAGCACCCGGGATGGTGGGGTCCCAGCCTCGGACCCTGCAACTGACCAGAACAGAGAGTGCAGATGGAGCCCTTGGACACAGCTCCAAGTTCGTGTAAATCTCGTGAGTTTAAGTACTGATGACACAACCTTTCCACGGCTCAAATGTTTAATCCTTCATTGTGAGCCAAAGCAGGGAACGTTACGGCACTCATGGGCTTTCGGGGGCAAGTATAGCACTGTAAACTAGTTTTAAGACTACAGAGAGACCCAACCTCAGCTGCATGTACTTGGAGGATGCCAGGTTTTATTATAAAGGTGGCAAAATAAATCTAGAAAGACTTAACAGCAATTCAGTGGGCCATTCATCACGTCACTCTGTGAGATGTTTTTGTTGAGCCGCTAACGAGTAGCGGTGTACACTGTTTGCTGGGCACTTCTGAGCAGATATGGTCCGTGCCTTGGTAACAAGAAGCAACTACGATAATACGAGCAGGTGAAGAAGACCTTCAGGTGTTGCTGACTCTCTAACTACGTTTTTGCTACACTCGAGTTCATCTGAAACCTACAGTAAGAGACAAGAGGTACAATGTGCGTTCATGCTTTGCTTGGACAGATTTTGGCTCCTAGCAATTAATGCTTTCAGTCACATTAAGCATATAAATAATGCTTTGTGACATTACAGTATTTCCCATTACAGATCAATTTTGTAGCATTTATTCATAATCAGACTTGAAATGTTACCTAGAAACAAAATATGTTTTCCCTGAAACAGTCAGACCCTATTAGAAACCTAAGGCTTTACACATCACCATGCTAACAGTTATTGCCCCTAGCGAAGGTTTTCTTTCCTTAAATAGTGTTAAATTCAGCCCCAGAAGCACTAGTCTCTTTGAGGGTTCTCTTCTTATGTGCACTGACTTGAAAGGAAAGACTTAGGGCTCAAAATACATTTAACATCTTACTACGTATAACTTAATAAATCAACCAGTATTCTCTTTTGGGGGAAAAATAATGTTAGCACCTTTTAAAAGTGTTATGCTTATAATTAGGTTACATGATGATATTTTCTCATTTTTTAAAAGACAAGTTTTCATTGCTTAAAAATAGATGTCAGCCTATTTCTAGGTAAGAGGAGTTACTGTCACTTCTTAACCACGTAATCACACGCTGTGCGTGAGCAAAGAAATAACGGGGACGTGTGTGAGGCTTGAGATTCAGGGCAGGAGAACCACGCGCTGAACAGTAGAGATCTGGGGGCCAGGAACACCAGGAGCTGAGTTGTGGCCCTGCTGTGCAATCGCTGGGAAATCTTCAGCAAATTACTTCTCATTCAGCAAACGTTAGCTAATTCTTTATTTATTTTTTTTTTTTTTAAAGATTTTATTTATTTTATTTTTTTTCCCCCCAAAGCCCCAGTAGATAGTTGTATGTCATAGCTGCACATCCCTCTAGCTGCTGCATGTGGGACTCGGCCTCAGGATGGACGGAGAAGTGGTGCCTCAATGCGCACCCGGGATCCGAACCCCGGGCCACCAGCATTGCAGTGCGCACTTAACCACCAAGCCACAGGGCCGGCCCGAATTCTTTATTTTTTACAGAACGTTTTTTTTTTTCCCCTGAGAAATATTCTCTTTGATGAAAGCTGATAACCTCTTACTCATGCAGCACATCATCACACAGCACTTGTGTGATACAGGCGAGGCTCTAGTGCTGTCGGTCCTGGGAACAGCAAAGACAGACCAGACTATTGCTCCCACAGAGCTTATGTTCTGGCTTGGGGAAGATGGCCCACAGAGAAGATAATGCCAAATAGCGCAGTTGGTTGAATGGTGGTCCCCAAAAGATATGTCTACCTCCTAACCCCTGAAAGCTATGAATGCGACCTTACTTGGAAAAACAGTCTTTACAGATGTAATTAAGTTAAGGATCTCGAGATGAGATCATCCTGGATTTCCCAGGCGGGCCCTAAGTCCAGTGACCAGTGTCTTTATGAGAGACACACAGAGAGAGAAAGAAAAGGCCATAAGACGGAAGGAGGGACTGGAGGGATCAGACACAGTCCAGGGACGCCTGGAGCCACCAGAGCTGGGAGAAGCCAAGGAAGGATCCTTCCCTGGAGTCTCCTGAGGGGGCGCGGCCCTGCCAACACCTCGATTTCAGACTCTGGCCTCTAGAACCAGGAGAATACGTTTCTGTTGTAAGCCGCCTACTTTGTGGTAACCTGAATGGCACCCTAGGAGACAAATATAAATGGTAATATGCCCCAAGAAGAACATAAGGATGAAGCAGGGGCTCAAATGGGGGCTCCTGTACGGCGTGGAGTCTGGAAGGCCCCACTGAGGGAGCTCCATCTGAGTTACCCAAGGCTGTGGGAGATGGGTGTTCTGAATCTGAGGGGACATGAAGTACAGAGGGTCCAACCTACGAATGATCATGGTGTGTTCGAGGACCAGAAAGAAAGTCAATGAGGCTGGCACACGGGAGGTGATGAGGCAGAAGGGACCAGAGCCTGCAGGGCCTTGCAGGCCTGGGTAAGAAGTCTTGATTTTCTTCCAAGTGAAACCTATCTCAGAAAGATCTTACAGTTAAAATGACCTGCAGGTTCCCTAACTAGCATCCAGAAGGAAGGAAGCATAGATTTATTAAATAAGTAAATAGGAGGATATTCTGAACATTCTAATAATTGGATTTAAAAAACCCAGAACCTTTATAATCTTACCCATGTAATCCCATCCCACTATTTAATTCTATACGAACGATAATGTCATGGTACAGGTGAAGTCGAACACCACAGGACACAGTGGAAAACCCTCAGAGGGATCCTTTATTTCCTTCACTTTCTACTTATAAGGTGGAATTTCAACTTGTGAAAGCTGTTTCTTCCATTCAGCCAATGGCTTGGAACATCTCTGTCCTAATTCCTTGTGCAAGCCGTCCCCGGGGCAGATCCCAGGCTCGGAGTCAGCAGGGTGGATGCACTGGGCTCTACACGAGGCCGGCTGCCCTGTGGCCCACTCCCTCCCTCCCTCAGTGATCAGCAAGGAATGGGCTGTATTTCTACTCACTTGTTCAAAGATCAGACCTACCTCATTTACACGTCAAGAAAATTTTCTCAAGTATAATAGTGTTTACCATTTTCCTGTAGTGCTTCAAATGCCCAACTTTCATCTTTTCCCTACTTCTAAAATTCCTCTGTTTTTCACATTATCTTTCTTGATTGCTTCTTCTTGTAAAAACAAAAAATAAAGATGTGGGTCTGTTGTGCACATTAGCAGGTCCGTGCAGAAAAATGCACAGAGGCTTCATATGCCATTTACAGTAACAGCTCCGAGTACAAAGTCAAGAGAGAAGAACCTCAAGTATTAGACTTGCTCTGAAATAAGCCTACTAGGATGACACCACTGTAGCTTAACCAGAATTTCCCCTCCCCAACTATTCACCAGTGGTAGATGAAAAAATCCACAGTTAAAATACATAGTCACTCCATATACTGTCCCCCCAACTTCTGAATAACAGTGGTTTTCCAAATTTTGTTCCTCTTTAGTTTAAATTTAATGGAAAAAACTAAAAAGTCATGTTTTAGCAATTATCCTCATAGAGCACTGCAATTTACCAAGATTTTCATGTGTGTTTTGAGAGAAATCTTACTGAAACAATAGTGATGACTATTTTCCGGTAAACATTGAGTGAAAACAATTTTAACCCCCATCTGAGGTTATACACTTGCTTTTGGGGACACAGATGCTGTGAATGTGAGAAGTGCAGCAACCGTCCGGGACAAGGCAGGGAGGCCCGCGACGGCCGCACCTGGCGAGGGCTCAGAGCTCGTCGTGGTTCTTGGTGAGGTCCTCCCCATAGTTGGTGGCTTGGCTTCCCACAAACATGTTCCAGTTCTCCAGGATCTCCTCTTTCGTCAGCTTCTCATCCTGCAGGACAGGAAAGAGTGCTGTCACGACCCGAGTGACAGTGCAGCGTGAAGCTCACGTTCACGGCTGGCGACATTTGACATCCCACACTTAATAATTACGAAGCTGCTGGGTACCTCCTTCGTCTACTGCTGCTGCACTGCCAAACCCCAGACTGGAACAGCCTCCTGCTATAAAAGCTGTGCTACACTGTATCAGTGAGTCCCCAAGGAATTCAGAAGCTAGAATCTAGTTATGTCGACACGCAGTGCTGGCATTCCCAAAACGGGCCTCAAAGAATTCCACTCCCCTTTTATGGCCTGACTGCAAAACTCGACTGTCCTCCAAGAATTTGGAGCAGTGATCAAAATGGGAAGAGGCAGGACTTCTTTCCAAATCTTGTTGATTTATTTATTTGGATATTTATCACTAGCTGTTGAAGAGCTGGGCACCGGAGCCAGCAGTGTGAGCTTGCCTGAGGATGCCTGGGTTTAATGGGCTGGGCTTCCTTCTGCCTGACACCTCACAGATGTTTGATAAATATCTGCTGACGGAACGAATGGATGAATACGCTCGTCCTATGGCAACACAGGGTATATTTCTTAAATCCATGCCCTGCCCACAGCAAACGAAGTTTCAGGTTCTGCAGTCCTAGGAGATGGGAGTGGATGTAAGTGTGTGGCCCCCGGCACACTGTCTGGGAATGTCTGGGCCTAATGAGCTCACTGTGGGCTATCAGGGCCTTGGCTCAAGCTTACAGGTCTCTAACATGGGACAGGAATGAGAAAAGTCATAGGACACATGTGGCCGCCCAGGGCAGTGCCATCCCCAAAGACACAACCAGTCTTACACAGACCGTCTCCCTTTAAGGATGGATTCCAGAAGAACATGCGATACCTTGTTTTTGTCTGACTCGTACACCAGGTGCCTGGCCTCAGCCTGCGCATGGTCGTAGTCTTGAGGGAGGATCCAGTGGCGAATCTCATCTTTGTCCAACTTCCCATCCTTGTTCAGATCCCGGAACTCATTGAACTGTTCCCGTTCTGACAAAACCCAGTCTGGCTCAGGGCCGTTCTCCTCGTGGGAAAACATATCCGCTAGAAGGGAAGGCAGTTCTTGGTTATGAAGACAAGTGGGAAGGTGCAAGGCAGAGGAAACAGGACTCCTGTGTTTTGGGAAGGGTGGCGACCAATCAAGAGACCCGACCCAAACACGTGGTGGGCGGGTTCTGGGGTAGCAGTGCAGTGATCCACGCACTGTGAAGGCTGCTCCTTGGAACAGAAAACTGAGCTCAGGAGCCAGAAGATGAGTCCTGGCTCTGCACTTAGTTCATCGACTGGGATTAAGTTCCTTAGTTCAGTGACCAAGTCTTAAGCGGCCTTGTCTGTAAAATGGAGATAATTTATAAATCACAGGGTTATTATGAAGCTCAAATGGAGCACTGTCTGTGAGTGCCTTACACAGCCGGAGCTGGCACCACCAGGGGAAAGCCAGGACTCGTGACCAACACCAGGCACCCGCTGTGGTCCAGGCGCGGGACAAAGTACTTCACAGGCATCTTTTCACAGGATTCTCCTAACAGTCCCATAAAGTAGGGCTTGTTACAATCCCACTTTACAGATGAAACACAGAGGCAGGGCCTTACCAGCAAGTGTGAGCTCGAGCTGCACGGGCTGTAACCACTGTGTTTACGACTGCTGTTTCTATCACTTGGAAGGGCTTTCACACATCTCATTTTATTCCACCCTCACGACAATCCTATACGATCTTTACCTTTGTTTTACTAAATGGCAGGGAGAGGAAAAGAAGACAAAGTGTATGCACTGTTGGCTGAGAGACCACATCTTCTCAGAAAACGGAGCTACCCTGTGGGCAGTTTCTCTTTAATGGAAATGTCAGGTGGTACCGGGAGCAGGTGGCGAATGGAGGGGAAAGAGAGGCAAGAGCCTTGGTTCAGCTGCAAGGTGGACCCACACCTGACGCTGGCCCTGTTTGAGAGAGGGCTGTCACGTACATTAGTGAACTCGAGCCCCCTCCAGTCCTGCAAGCATGGGCGTTGCGTATTCCTATTTTACAGATGAGGAAACCGAGGCTTATTGTGGTTACACAGCTCCCCAGGGCCACATGGCTAGTGAGTGGAGAAGCCAGGACTCCTAACTCCAATGCTCGTTCCACTGTGCCACACAACCACCGCTCTTCCCCTCCTTCCCGCCTGAAGAGAAGCCTCCCCCATAAAGGAAGCCACTTGCTGGACAGTCCATACATCCAGCCTCTCTGAGTGCAAGTCGCTCAGAATTCTGTTTTCAAGCACAATGCCCCCCCCGGCCCCGCCCGCCAAGGGTAAAGAACAGAATGTTTCTTTTAGGCAAAGCCGCCCCAAGAGTTTTGCCCCAGACTCGGCAGCATTTCAATGCAGAGTTCAGGAGGGCCAGAAGAGCACACACTTTTCACCAAAGTACTACACTGCTTGTTTGAATCCGTCAGCTTCGCCAGCCCAATTCCATCACCACCGTCAAGGGGAGACGTCCACAACTCTGCACTGTCCCTTGCATGCACCAGGCAAGAGGAAGGGTCTGCTGCCTGCGCTGGCGCGGGAGCCGACAGCCTCTGTTACCCTACAGAGACCACGATAATTACCGTCACACAGACAGACGGAGAACAGCGTTCGGTCCTTCGGAAGAAACACAACCACAGACCAGAGACTGATGGCAACTTGGGCTCTGGTTTCACGTTGAAAGGAAATTAACTGCCTCTACTAAACATGTGTACAAAAATCATCCATATCCCACCCTCGAATGATGTTCCAGTTTTACTTTGTTGAGACTTGGGAAAAGAAGAGGTGTTGTGAGAAGGCAGCCTGCGGTTGGAGCTGTGTGCCAAAGCACCGAACAGGCAGCCAATGAGGATCAAATGGAAATTTCCAGGTTGTCTGCTCCAGGCCTTTCCGCTTGGGGGGCTCCTGGCTGCTGCGAAGGGCTCGACCAGCAGCCCAGGTGCGCTGACCTGAGCCTCACTCAGCCAGTGCTCAGCACCTGAAGACATCCTTCTTGATGTAAGTGGAGCCCCACAGAACAAACGCTAGAATGGCTCTCCCGAAGAGAGGATCAAACCCAGAGGCACGAGACGTGCATGAGTCACAGGGTTTACCTCTCTAGGAGGGAAGGCCTTTCTGCAGAGCGCCTGGGCACATACAGTTCCGCTGACCACAGCTGCGTCCACTCAGAGCTGCCAGGCCCCGCCAACCCACAGTCAGATTTTAGTCCTGAGACTGCCTGCTCCAGCCTCACTGTAAACCTCTGGGATCCCCAATCCCGGTGTGATGAGGGGCACCTCTCAGCCCTTTCAGAGCCTGGAGGCAGGGCCAGCCTTTTGTTCCTTCCCCACTGATGAGGTCTAACAACGCCTCCCTGACACTGCACCCCCAGGGCTGCTGTGACGAGTCCCTCCCCCCGGAGGTCACCGAGTGACACCTGCAGACTTGCAGCTATTGCTAAGAGAGACGTCTGGGGAGAGCAGCCAGGCACGTGGGTGGAGGCGTGTGGCCCAGTGGGACACCTGAGCAAGACACAGGCTGCTGTGTACTCACCAATGTACTCGTCCTGATCCACAAACCCGTCCCCGTTCTTGTCGATGTCCTCCAGAGTTTCCTGGGAGCAAAGGAGAAAAGAGAACCCAAGATAGCTACGTGCTCTGCGTCAATCTGAGAATCCTAACTGCTGTCCTTCAGCTTTTAAGGCTGAACTCCCAGTGACTCCTGCTCTTCTTACCTCCCTGGCCATTTGTTCTTACCTGTAAACAATGGGCAGTGGCCATCCCTCCTCCCCCACCCCACAATTTTATGAGCAGAACACTCTCTTCAAATGAAAATATACCTGTAAGCCCAGAGGCTCTGATTCTGTCTGGAAGGCCTGTCAGGCCACCATTGCCACCATCCATCCAAACCATCCCCTGGGCACCGTGAAGAACCCAGCCTGAGAACCACTGGACTAGAGATAATCACAAAAATAGATTCCAGTGCCAACTGGACTATGAACACTGAGCTGGTGTCAGATAAATATGAAAAAGTGGGCAATTAAAGTAAATAAAAATATATTTGACTTTTGAACATATTATGTTCTGTATTTAGTAAATCTGACTTCTTAATTCGGTTATTTGCTAGGCTAAATAATTAAATGAGTTTACTGCCCATTGTCACAGCAACTCAAAGACATCCTGGGTTGAAGAAAATAGCTAACCTGAGAGCCAAGAGCCAATCCAGAGGCACATAACCCTCTTGTGGATAACTCCCCATCTTCATCATCCTCTGGCAAACTAGCTATCGCTAAAGGGACGTTGGGTGGTAAAGAGTAATGATTCTTAGAGCCATTGCCCAGTCCTTAGGGTCATGTGGCCATGAGGACGAAGCATGAGACAAGAGTGGACCCATCCACCAACTGGATAACTAAAATAGTCCAAGCTAATTATAAACAGAAAGTTCAGCCACTTGTTTCCCAGCATCGAAGCTGGTGGAACTGGCTTGGGGTATCTCCCAGGAAATAGGTGATGGCATTTAGTGTACTGTCATGGAAAATGAAGACATGTGGGACCTACAAGACACTGGGGGAAGCAGACTCACTCAGAGGCCCTACGAGCACAGCTATCCCTTAAAGCCCAGGGTCTGAGCCATCACCCTCCCAAGACCCAGCCTTAAGGGTAGCGTCCTCTCCAGCCAAGGTTTTCCTTTCAGTTTCCGCATGGTTTAACAATCCACTGCATTCCACTTGAGTCTTTTTCTAGTTCCCTCAGAGCTGAAAAATGGGATGGAGACTAGCTAGTTGTTCATTAACCCCATCTGCTCTTTCTGGGCTCACATTTAGACTGTTCTTCCCGCCTCGTCGTATCAGGAGGAGCCCGTGGAGTGTCCAAGGGAGGGACGGTGCATTCCTGGCTGCAACAGTGCAGGCAGATGGCGCCTTCTCCTTACTCCCTTTCCTTCCCTTTGTCTACCAGCAGGTTGTTGCCAGGATGACCTTGAAGCAACAGGACGGCAGAGTACAAGATGAATAGCCCGAATAGTACCTGACAGCACCTGGGGAACTGCCCGGAGGGTCGACCTGACGGGGGCCACCCGCACTGGCCTTGGTGTAGGCAGGAAAAAAGCTTTGATTGTGTAAATGGCGAGGACTGGGGCTCTTTGTTGCAGCAACTAGCCTGCCTGACTGATTTACTAGGTCGACAGGTATTCAACGCATTCCACGTCAGAGTCCTTCTCCCATTCCCCTCAGGCTGAGGAACGTTCTCTGGGAAGAAGGGACAAGACGCTGGTACAGCTTTCACCCTGGACTCTTCCAGTCCACTCTTTATCTTACCAGAACCACAATTTCCTTCATGTGCTCAAACTCCTCAGGGTGCAGAAAGGCAGTGAACTCCTCCCGGGTGGCAGTCTGGTCCCCATCGAGGTCTGCAGCCTTGAACCTTCTCTCGTCACGAGGCAGCATCTTTTTAAAGGTGTGATGATCTGAAGTATCCTGAAACTCAGCTGGGTTTCCTGCAGGACGTGGCACAGATGTGTAAGCTGGGCCGCTAAGACAGACACTTCCTTCCAGATCACTCGTCCGTCCTGCCCACATGGTCTACAGATGACAAAAGGTCCTGACCTGCGAGTTCTAGGAAACGTTTTATTTCAGGATGCCCCGTCCCTTCATCCCCCATAATCCAGACCCGAATGGCTCATCGCGTGCCTTGCAGCAAGCGCTTAAAAGCACATGCTCCCGACCATCCAGTGCCCCACTTCTCTCTGCAGAACCTGCTTTCACGTCACTCTTTGGTCCAGAACACACAGAGGCTCCCCAGTACCCATGGCATTGTCTCTAATGCTGCTGCCTGGCTTTCACAATCTGCCTTCATCTGGCTGTGAGAGTGTGCATCCTCAGTTCTCCACAGACCTGTCTCCTCGCTGTCTCCCCCACACACCCCGTGCGTCTGTGCTCTGGGCTCTGCACACACTTCTCCTTCATTCCACCAAATGAGCATGTGTTACATCCAAATTCTGCCCACTGCCGAATCCACTGCTGCATCCCTGCCCCTCTGGCTGACCCATCTGCCCCACTTGTCTCTCTCTCCCCAAATACATATCCATTTTTCAAGGCCCAGCTCCCAAACCACCCTTCACCAGGAAGTCTTCCTTGACTGCTCCTGCCCACTTGGTCCTTGATACCTGAAATTTGGCAGCATTTTGAAACTGTACCACAGACACACTTCCCCTCTGCCTTGTCCTCTGCGTGTGCCTCTGAGACGTGTAGCTCAGGCTGGGCAGCAACCTCAGTCATTTCTATTAGACCCCGACCCCTCCCACCACTCACGACCCACGACTTCACGCGGGTGAGCAGAACAGGATGTTACAGGACAGGTCCCATCTAGGAGGCTGTGACATCTCCCCGAAGGGGGCAGATATGATGAGAGGCCCCACTGTGTAATCACTCCCGCAGCACCTCTTACCCAGGTAGTAACCGTAGGTGGCTTGTTTGTACTCTTCCCAGGAAATTTTATTGTCTTTGTCCCGATCATAATCCTTCCAGACTTTGGCGACATTATCGTAGATGTATCTTTTCTGCACCCGTTTGATCCAGGTTTTCAGCTCCTCAGAGGTGACAAAGCCATCCCCGTCATTGTCGATTCGATCAACAATCTTCCTGTAGTAAAAACCCACAAGGCCATTATCAAGACTTGTATGATCCTGATCCAGAAAAAGATCAAACACCTGCAGAACCCAGAATGCATAAACAATTGAAATAAAATCACTGACCCGATGGTGCTGGAAAAGATCTTAAAGTTTCTCTTTTCCAAGGATGATATGCCTGCCCCCACTCAGTGCGAATGGCAGACACTGCTAGTGGATCATGCCCGTGTCCTGAAAAACCTAGCTGTGGCCTCAGAATCGTTCTCAACACGGCTCTGCAGACAGACATGACCAACTGATGATGAGAGCTGATGTGTCAGATGAAACCTGGCAGACTGCCCTGAGGTGGTCTAACTCCCTCATCTTAGAGTAATGGTAACTGAGGCCAAGAGAGAGTGGGTGACTTTTCCAAGACCACACAGCTAGTGTTTGGTACAACTGGACTAAGAACCCATGTCCTCTGGCTCCAGGTCTAATGCAGAAAATGGAAATTCTATGTAAACCAAAAGATAAGTGAGTTCTTTATTTTTTTTTTTTTTTAAAAACTCACCACTTTGGACTCAAAGACTTGAAACTTAAAGCAGGAGGAGACCAGATCTTGTTGGACAATGCACAAAATGTCGGGGATGAAAGAGCCTTGGCATGATGGAGCCTCTTCAAGAAACTTGACCAGCCGAGCAGCTGCAGGAGCCCAGACCCTTGCTCTTAGGGTGAAGACTCCTTCATCCACTGGTGTGTCCTGCTCTGCTGGCCCAGGTTCCAGCAGTTTCCCACAGGACTCCACTGAGGTGCCCCAAACCCTCGTCCAGAGTAAGCTTCAGGCTGGGAACACACCCGCGTCCATCTCTAGGCCAGAGGGCCCCAAGCTGGGGACACCATCCCTGAGGGAACTTCAAAAACACCCAAAGCTATTTCCAGGGTTTAGAAAGTTTTAGCCTGGTAGTCCATTTACCTGGGACGAGGTCATATAGGCCAAATGGGGATTTGTTTCTTCGCTTTGGGCTGGAATTCTACCAGCTCAGTGGTGAAACTTGCTTACTGTGAACAGAAGTTCTGATTGGCAGTAACTCTTTAATTTATCAGAAATGGGAAATGAATTCATTAGTGCTTAAGTCTCCATCTCCTCCTGACCTGGGCAGCTCAAGCTCCTTTTTCTCAGGAAAGTGTAAACATTACTAACAGCTTTAATGTGTCCCTTCATGTGCAATTTTAAGAGGTCTCAAGACTACAAGACTGAACCTCAAGCATCTTCAGGCTTCCTTCCAGGAAATCACAGCCAGACACAGCAGAATTCTTTCAACGCTGTGCAGTGTTCAGCCTACCTACTACGTGCCAGGCACTGCTCCAATCCTGGGGGCACGGTAGTGACATGCCCGTCGGTTATCCAAAGCCAACTGAAGACAGAATCTCAGACCAGCAGAGACCTAGCGACGCCAGGCAGTGTGCAACCTTCTTTTGTGGAAAGGATAGCATCTAATCTATCCAAACACACACCCAGGACATAGCTCAGCTCGACACACAGTAGGAGCTTAATAAAGATTTGTTGGAAGAATAAGATCTTAACCTCTCTCTTCAAAACTCTCAGGAGTGAGATATTGGGAAAGGCAGCCAAATGTAGATAAAGCTACACGCTGTCCTCAGAACGCCTGGATCCTGTCCAAGCTCCCCTCCGAGTGTCAGTTTCCCAGCTGTGAATCAGAGCACCTACTTTACCAGGCACGTTGTGAGGAATGAAGGGGAGAACATGTGCCTTCCTCACCAAGCACGATAATCCAGACCATGGGGATGCAGAACTCAAGAGAGGGCCAGCAGGGACAGAAACGAGCAAAGCTTCCAGTGGAGCCTGGGGCGACCGGGACGTCCCTGCCCACCACCAACGGGGCTGCCAACTCTGCTGGCCAAGGACCGCCTCATGGGGGCACCGGTCCACAGGTGTCAAGAGAAACCAGAAAGCAGTCTGTATTGAAATCACTCATTTTAAACGTTGGCAAGTAATTTACATTTTTTCTAAGACAAGAGTGGCATGTCTGTGACTGCCTGTGGCCTGGGTCCCCACTTTGCAGCCCTCTGGCAGAGGTGTCTCCAGGGGCCTTGGAGTGATCACGTTTTCAGGAACCATGGTCAGGTGATGGTGACACAGTTCCCGGATGCAGCCGTGCTCCTCACTCAGCAGCCCAGACTTGGAGGGGACTATTGTACCAGGAGCTGTGGACGGAGGCAGCTTCTCATGCTCTGCCCTGTCCCACACTGCACCCACCATTTCCAGCCCTCTGCCCCCCACTCCAGACTCTAGCCCAATTTAACTTACAGGTAGGGGGTATGTCCACTACCCGTGGGTGGCTCAGGCCCGAGACCCGGATGTCACCCTGATCCCTCCCTCCTCGTCACCCCCCCCCCTCCGCCCCGAGCCCAGAGCAAGCACTGCCACGTATGTCAACCCCCTCGTGTGTCTGGACTCACCCTTCCTGCAGTCCAGACTGGCCGTGCCCGGTTCAGGCGCTCATGGCCCCCAGCCCCTGGTCTCCCCATTGTGCCTCAGCCAAGTCCCCCACCCCATTGCGAGTCTGACTTTCCCAACAAGCTTTTGGGGTGAGGACATTTCGGCTGTGTACAGGATAACATCTAATCTCCACCTCTCAGAGCCTGCCCTTGGTTTCCCCTCCACTCCCACCTCCTGCTTCCTTTTCCCAACACCCCTTTACTGTCCCAACACCCCTTGTCCCCAGAACAAGGTTCTGGGGGACAGGTTGCAAAACCCCTGTGACTGGGCTGTTCTCTTCAGAACTGCCTTCCCCGCTTGTACACCTGGCAACCTCCGAGTCATTCCACAAGCTCTGACCAGGTGACACCCCAAGCCCCCAAACCCTCTCTCCAACCTGAAGCCCCAGGGGCTCCTTCTCCTGGATGTGGTCACTGTGGTCTTCAGCCACCACCACAGCAACTATGTGTAGTGTCTGCTTGTGTCTCTCTCCCCACATTTGACTGTAAGTACCCTGAGGCCTAGAGCATACCTGCTAGGTATCTAATGCCATGGCTGGCACACAGCAGACATTCAAATGTTTCTTGCATGAACAGATGAATGAAGTTAAGGTGTTTGTACAAGGATCAAACCCAGGCCAAGTCCATCAGCGCTTGCTGTCTCCTCTAGGCTCACTGGTCATCATGAAGGTATGACATTGGAATCTGTAAGGCTGCAAACTACAGAGTTCCCTACTGCAAACCCCAAAACCTCTCCTCCTTCTCCCAGGTGACAGTGCTGCAAACGGCTGCCACTCAGGGCCCCAGAATAAACCAGTCTCAAGTGTCTCAGAGCAGTACAACAGACTGACCTCTTCAATGGCCCCCATTGTTAAGTCCCAAACAGAAGAGAAAAGTGCTTCTCTGCAAAATAAGAGGTGATTGTTTGGAGGTGACTTTGAAGTTCCAAGATCTTTTTATCAGAGCAGACAGATGGTGCACCTACACAATAGGTATAATTTAGCCTCCTATTCTGACCAACCACATTGCCTGTGGCAGCCCCATCAGCTGAGAGATGGCTGTGTTCTTTTTTATGTAGCAGGACAACCCCGGGGCCTGATGCCCAGCAGGCGGGGCTACTGGGGCCCTCCCCAGCCCACCTCCACCAGGACCCCAGCTGGCTGCTGATTGATTCCTCTGCGGAGGGGGTTTCCAGAAGCCTTTGCACAACGTCCCGAGTGTCTCCCAGGGCCGCGGAGCGCAGGCACGGAGATGCACCAAAGTTTTCTTTCCCAGGTTTGGTTCCTGACTCAATTGTCTTCCGCATTGACATTCACGACCCTCCCCACAACACCCTCCAGCTCTGCCCTCAGTTGCCAGAAGACTGGGCACCTCTGCAGATATCTGCTGGACACAAGCGGGGGCCCAATTTCCATTAGTACCCCCACCGCCATGCCCTAATGCCCCTCCTTCTCAGTAACGGGACTGTTACATCCCTACTTCAGATTTACTGGGAGACTAGGCAGAAGGCAAGAACCCCAGCCCGAACCAGGGGCCCAAGAGAATCTAGCCTCTCCTTCGCCTGCCCTCTGGGCTTTCATCCCCTTAGGTTCATCCTTGAGACCTTAGCAGGGTCTCAGCCCTCCTCTCCGGGAACTCTGGAGTGTGGGAAAGAGCCCACGTCGCCAGAAGGCCACCGTGGACAAAGAGGAGTTTATCCACTCCCTCTCCTTTCTGGGGCCACCGCGGGGAGGGCGTGCCCTCCCGTCCTGGCCGCCGCGGCCGCCACGTTCTCGCCTCCACGCGGGTCGGCGCCCGTGTCCGCGAGCCCCTGCGACCCCCGCGCGGCCTCACCCCAGCCGGTCCTTGCTCTCCTCCGAGCTGAGCTGGTCGAAGGTCTTGGAGTCCTCCTTGCCCAGGAAGGCCTCGTGGTCGTACTGGAAGCTCCGGTTGTCCTCGGGCGGCCGCTCGCCCAGCTCCGAGTCGGGCCGCACCACGCGCTCCTTGCGCACCGTGGGCTTGGCCCGCAGCGCCCGCGGCCACAGCAGCAGCAGCAGCGCCAGGAGGAGCGCGGGGCCGAGGCGCGCCATGGCC